ATTGTCTAGTTTCTCATGATAATTTTCGTGTTCAGGCATTCTAGAATGGCTCATATGTCGCATGCACTTTTTGCAGTACACATAGCTCTCGGATGAAATCCGAAGTTTCCACATTTATTTGAGTTAGTATTGGTTGCTAGTGGGATAAGTTAAATTCGTTGCCCTTCTCGTTTACAGCCTATACTTGTTCATTGTTAGCGTATATCATATATATATAGATCAGTCCGGGGAAAACAACTAACAAATCATTTTCTCTTCAATCGTTGACAATGGACAGTGAAATATCATTCTTAACGGCTAATAACGGTAACCAATTACTAGTGTTTAACCAATATATGTTCACATGCAAGAAAACGTCCTCATCAAAAAAGTATCGGGCTTGTAGTGAACACAGATGCGACGTATATGTGCACACCAATTTAGAAAATAAATTTTTCTTTTTCTTTAAAATTATCAAAAAATTCAATTTTCGACATTTACCTTTTCTGCGTTTTCCTTTTTCTACTTTTTTCATTCGACGTTTTCAATTTCTGTATTTTCTCCTTCTATGTTTGCCTTTTCGGCATTATCATTTGCGACGTTTACCCTTTCTGCCTTTTCCACCAAGCCCTAAAAAAACAGCACTTCATATAAGCTGATTAGTCAAAATTTTGTGGCGTAATTAAAATATTAAAGAAATTAAAGTAGTGACCACTATTGAAAGACCTTGATGAATATACAAAACATTTCACAATAGAATTTATTGATGCATAAGTGTCTTACACGTCACCTCTGATTTTTCATGCATTTGTTAGATTGTTTGACAAGTACTAATGAATATAAAATATATGTATATAGGCCTTTCTCATCCTTACTGATGTTTGAATTATGAGAATCGTTACATTGTATTGCAGATTCGTTTTTCTTCATTGAACGTAGAAAAAATATGAAAATACAAGATGGAAGTGTCGAGTTAACCTATAATGCTATCGAAATATTTGATTTATATTCAAGAACTAGTTTTCTTGTATAAAATAATGCTTGTTTTCCCAAAAAATTAGTGTTCATCTGTTAAATATTTATGTATTAGTGCTTTTATATATGAATAATCTTCTCTAAAAATCTATCTTTAAATACTTCATTTGATAAAATAGTCAGTGCATAAATCGTTAAATGAGTCTTTACTATAGCAACTATTCTTATCGGCAAGTATAATTACATTTTCTTTTTCTATAATGTCATTTAGGAGATGACATCATAAAAATTGTTTTTATTTACCAAAATGAGACATCTACTTTTTTTGTACATTTTCTTTCTTATCTTATTAATTTCATCATGAAATATTCAAGGTATGTGTTTTTTTTCTTTTGCTTTTCACACACGAATTGAATCAGTCAGCAATCATCAGAATGCATTCACCCGACGACGCTCGTTTTATGTTAATGCATTTCTCTTTTAGATTGAATCATTTAAAGAAAAAGAAAAATGAGTAACGTACCAACTCGTCAACTAGGTAAAAATGGTCCTCAAGTATCGACTATTGGATTTGGAGCCATGGGTTTATCAGCATTTTACGGACCTACTGCGCCAGATGAAGAACGATTCAAAGTTATCGATCGAACAATCGAACTAGGTTGTAATTTTATCGACACTGCTGATATCTATGGTGATAATGAAGAACTCCTAGGAAAATATTTCAAAACATATCCTGAACAACGAAAAAAAGTCAGTATATCAAATAGAAAATCATTCACACTGCTATAGTACGAAAGTGAAATTAACTTTATCTCAGAATAAATGCATACTATTGAAAATGATAGAAAACAGGCCAGATGATGACAAGTCTCTTTAGATTTCACTTAGACTCTATCATAAAAACACTGTATGATTCTAAGACTAATCAAGTTGTTTGACGAAAAATAAAAACAAAATAACTGAATTCTGCTCATCATTTTTAAGGTATTTCTTGCAACAAAATTTGGTAATGTTATTTCTCCAGATGGCAAATTTGGAGTTCGTGGTGATGCAGAATATGTTCGTGCAGCAAGTGAACGAAGTTTTAAACGTCTTGGTCTCGATTCAGTTGATCTTTACTATGCGCATCGAATTGATAAGACCGTTCCGATTGAAGAAACAGTCAAGGCTATGAAAGAACTTGTCGACAGTGGAAAAGTTAAATATATTGGTTTATCGGAATGTTCAAGCGAAACACTTCGACGAGCATACGCTGTTCATCCAATTGCTTGCGTACAAATTGAATACTCACCATTTAGTTTGGATATTGAACGAGATGATATTGGTCTTTTGAAAACATGTCGAGAACTTGGTGTTGCTATTGTTTGTTATTCGCCATTGGGTCGTGGAATGTTGACTGGGCAATATAAAAGTTCAGATGATTTTGCCGAAAATGACTTTCGACGAATGTTACCTCGATTTTCAAAAGAAAATTTTCCAAAGAACCTTAAATTAGTCGATCATTTAACTGAATTAGCCAAGAAAAAAAATTGCACACCTGGTCAATTAACACTAGCATGGATTATTGCACAGGGCAATGATTTTATTCCCATACCTGGCACAACAAAAATAAAAAATTTAGACGAAAATGTTGCAGCTGCGAATATTCAACTAAGTGAACAAGAAATTAAAGAAATTCGTCAAGCTTGTGAAACAGCTGATGTCAATGGTGAGCGTTATCCTGAAGTATTCGTTACTAATTTATTTGCTAATTCAGCTCCATTGAAAACATAGACAATTTATATCATTATTATGAATTCAATTCAAATATTATTGAAACACAGTATTTTTCTTGTGAAACATTCTATCATATTAATATTTCACTTCTCATGTCGTATTTTGTAGTGTAATTATCATTTAACTAAATCATTTGTTTTATTAGTATAGATTTATTAGTATCATCAAAAACATATAAATACAGTAGAATGTTAAAATGTGATTTTATGATAAAACTACTGATTAAAAAAAAGACAAAAGTCATTAAGTATACTAGTTAAAACTAAATGTATCGACAGTTAGAGAAAATATTTTTACTATGTTATTAATACATTACAATATTTGTTATCAGAGCATTTCAAAGCATGTCCTATTACTATTTTTGTATGGTGATAGTGATTGATTAGAAAATCTACTAGTATTGGTCGCTGCAAATAGATACTCCAGGATATCTGATCCAATGTTTATCCATACATAAAAAAAGTTAACCTTGCCCATCTTTATATTAATAAAGTAGAGTACTGAAAAATGACTAAAATAGTAATAATTAAATCTTGTGAAGTATTTTTTTTTCAATATGAAATGTAATTTTTACACCTAAAAGAGTATTGCGCACTTGGTAGAATGATTTAAAGAGAAAAAAAATACATATATATATATATAATAATAATACTCGAAAATTAATCAATGTGCTGAAATTTTCGTCTGTTTTCTTCATTGGTTGGGTGTGGGTGTGAGTGTCATTATAGATGAAAACCCACACCACGTTCACATCCACACTCTAGAGGACGTTACGAACAATAGGGAGTTAAGATGAAAAAATTCTTTCCTCTTGTTACATGAATGATGCTTACTCGATTTTTAATCTCATACAGGAAAATATTTTGCAATGTCTAGGTCATTTGTTCTATGAGATGAATGATTTTGTGAGTAAATAGGTGTAAATAGTAGAGCAGACTAGTTATCAAAGACGTTCAACTAGGAAAATAAATGATATAAAATAATATTAATAATATAAGAAAGGCACAAATATGTTCCAAAAAATGATTTGAAGAATATTTTTATTAAATTTGTTTTTATTCTAACAATGGTGTCTGAAATTTTCAATAGCCATTGGCAGTAATGATGATTTCAAGTCAGATATTTTAACAGTTTTGCTAAGAACAATGATAGCTCAATCGGCCAAGACGCATTGAACTTATTCGCTAGTTATTGGTCAACGGAAAAGGATCAGTTCTAAGTTGTGATTATTTAATTGTTCTTTAGTTATCGTCAAATTTATGCAGATTCATGTCATGATTTTTTAAAATCTCACTGCATCCATATCTATCTCTTGAGATATTTTGCCTATGCCTGATACATTGCATAGTCATCACATTTGTTAAATTGATTTAAATTATGTACAGATCCGTTCATGTCATGTTGTAATCATAATACTACGAATACGACTTTCTGTTTTCTTAATCGTAACCTTCAAGATCACCAATATTTTTTGTCGAAATCAAGAGTGTAAAATATAATATTCTTATCATAGTATTGCAATCATTGAGTTATGAGGTATATTTTCTATTTATTTAAGCATCGCATTTCTGAAATTTTTTTCAATAGATCTAATTACTACGTTTCATTTATTTGCAGCAATACTGTATTCCATGCTTTATGACTTTTGCGCTAAAAATGCGAATTAAAAGAAAAATAACACTATAATATCTTCTCATAGTGATGCCAGCTGAACTCAACTAATCCCTACGAAAGTCATTATAACTGATAATGAAAAAATAATGCGACAAAGTCTACATCATATTTCTCTCAAGAGTAAATTCACGTTGACAAATCGCCCTATTTGTTTTGACAATCCACAATGAATACGGTATAGTGACTGATGAGCGCCGTGAAATGTGAATATTCAGACATCTGAGTCGTACGGAAGAAAGAAATCGGGTAAAATAATCACATGCGCATGTGTCTACATTTCTACCAAAAAAAAACGTACGTTTCTGTGTAGTTTAACTGATTTAGTGTACGCATGAGAATATATTGATTGAACATATTATTTGATGTTTTAAAAAATAAACAACTTTCGCAATTACTTTTCTAAACATTTCTCATCAATTCAGATCTATTGCAGTATTGACAAGAAACTTTTTCGAATGGAAATATTTTCCTGCTTTTTCAAGATTGTGCAATCAATATTGTACGGTAATAATAGAACGCAACACTAATAGTTATGTTGATTAAATCAATGAATGAAATAGAATTAACTAAATGTTTTTTCGTTTGGGTAAAAATCATTCTCTTAACTATGAAGATAGATATCAGCGTGATTCATGAACACTTACAGATACAACATGTTTACTTAATAGTTTTGTATTCAATCAAGTAACATGATATCTATTTTGCGTCTTGCTTTACTAATAAATGAAGGCTCCAATACCAAAAGATCATGTAGCAAAATCTCAGTTTTCAAGGATCAACAATAGAGAAATCACTTTTCTACTGCATCACCATCAAAATTTTAATTGGTAATCCTATTTGAAAAGAACAAATTTGTATTGTTACCCTACCCGAGGAAAAACACATGTCGCTATGAAGTACTGCATAGACCAGTAATAAAAAACATTTCTAATTTTCTAATGCATGCTATTATGATCTATCGAAAGCATCTAAATATGAACGATAAATATCACAATATGTTTTTAAAGGATTCTTTAGCTATCCTATATTGTTGATCAGAGTAATTCAAAGACTATAATGTAAATGACTGCTATTTTTAGAGTGAAATCTCTATGCTGCTTCTAGAAAAATTTATTCTGTGGCTGTGACTATAGATAAGCTTTTAGATAATAACAAAGCGATGCTAACGTGAAGTTGAATTAAAATAATCTACCTTAATTTGCAAATTCAAAATGGCTAGAATCACTTTGATACAATTATTGTCACTCATTCTCATAGATTTACTCTTAGAACTGATTTTCCAATATACGTATATGAATGTTGTTTAAAGTTCATATTAATGATAGATGTATTCCAATCAAAGATTTTCTTTACACAGTCAAATATATGATTTCATAGTTATTCATAGTGTTGATAGTGAACTTGAAAATTGTAATATTGTTTCTACTAGAATGATTAATTATGCCGATGGGAAGCCAAATTCATGAGCGAATTTTAATCTTGATAAGGTTAGAGTACATTTTTTGCCGGAAATTTCAGTTTGAGAACTAGCATGCATGAGTATGAGTTATTTATAACTCCTATTGAATCTTGAACATTTCCAAGTTCATAGCATGTCAAGTATATTTGTTGCAGGAGAAATTAAAATTCAGTAGAATTTAAAATTCTACTAGTATAACTTAAAATCACCAAATTATTTTAATTTCTACTAGTATAACTTGAAATTGCCGGTTATTTTAATTTCTCCTATAGTAGAGATTGAAATCCACGTTTTACATTAATGATTTGTACATAGAATAAAGGAAAGAAAAAGGATTTAATTGTTTTATCTAAAATACACGTATCAGTATCGAAAAAATCGAAAAATATTTTATAAAATGGAGCTGTTCGATGAGAAAATCGATAAACGTATCGAAAATTTAAGCGAGAAATTTCGCTGTAAGTTTGTTATCACGAAAGTGGTTTATAACGACATCGTGTTGGTGCTGAAAGATGGTTCCGGTGAGGCCCAGTTTAAGTTTTGGGTTTTCAAGCACTTTAAATTGGTGACTATTGGAGAATTACAAGTTGTATATGGCAAAAAATCAAATAATCCGGTAATAACTTATGAACAGTTATACACAACGATTAAAGAATGCCATGAAAGAGTAGGACATCATGGACGTGATAAGACATGGAATGAGGTAGTATTTTAAACAAAACAAATAGAAAAATAATTGAGATATTAAATCCTTTTTCTTTCCTTTATTCTATGTACAAATCATTAATGTAAAACGTGGATTTCAATCTCTACTATAGGAGAAATTAAAATATGTTCTATAATAAAAGTGTCTAGTAGAATTTAAAATTCTACTATAGGAGAAATTAAAATATGTTCTATAATAAAAGTGTCTAGTAGAATTTAAAATTCTACTATAGGAGAAATTAAAATAACCGGAAATTTCAAGTTATACTAGTAGAAATTAAAATAATTTGGTGATTTTAAGTTATACTAGTAGAAATTAAAATTTTAATTTCTACTAGTAGAATTTTAAATTCTACTGAATTTTAATTTCTCCTGCAACACGTATATAAATTTTACGTATAAACATATACAAATCTAGGTCGAGAAAATAAATGTGATTCATTGTAAGCTGTAATGTTATTCTCTTTTATGTCGAGAGATATACAACGTGACTAGTATAAATTCTTTTTTTTTCGCCTTCTCTCTTTAAGCATGCTGGCTTAGCTGAAATAATTTTACCATCGATATCTACCAAGAAATAGTATTATCGTAACATTATCGACTTACATGGTCATTTGACTTTATTGACATTATTTTACTTCCAGACTCGTGAATATCTTCAACAAAATAAATGGCTACAAATACAACTTCAAAACTTTTCATACGTTTATCAAATCCAACACAAGAGCAATTGAATAAAGTCGATTTTGATTATCCGTTACAGTGTGTATTTCGAAGGCTTCGATTTGATTCGACTGGACATCACTTGATATTTGTTGATGACCGTAAAATAAACTTGCAGCAAAACAGCCTCATAGGTGGTCTGAATATACATTTGACAGAGTTGTCACACAACATAATGCGATATCGCCTTGAAGTACAACTCACTGATGGCCAACAACAAAAGTTCAAGTCGATTAAGCCCATTACTCTTGGTTGTAAAGGATTACTGGACAATTAACCTGAACATTTAAATACTTTATTCATGGAAAAATATGAAAAAAAATAAAGACAAAAATTGAAGTTTTTTATTAAAAACTTGTTTTTTTTTTCATTGTTTTAATAAAAGCTTTATGACATGATTATTGTCAACAAGAATCTTTTTGTTTTTCAATATAGATATATGTGAACGATAAATTTTTTAATGGATAATGATTCATTATCTTAGAATAAGGAGACTTCTCAGTCGAGTGTTTGGCTGCACACTGTCAAATAGATAGAAAGAAATCATTGACAGTACTAACTCTAAGAGTGCAATAAAACTAACCGAAAAATAGAAAAAAATGTTTTCTCAAACTCCCAATCATGTACACCTTATATAACACTGTAGAAGAGGTTGTCAAATGAATACAATCAATTATTTCTATTATATCGAACATGATCTGTTAATATAAGTTTTTTTCATTTTCAATTCGAAAGAATAAAAATTTTCAAAACTATTTATTTTATCTTCGTGTAGAATTATGATTCGATAATAACAGTAAATTGTTTTAATTTGAAGAATATTTGAAGAATTATCAGACATATAATAAAGAAATTCTATTCTATTAGCATATATACAATAACAATAGGTGTCAATGTTTTTTGCTTTCTTTTCGTTTCTTTTATTCTAATTAATTGGCTTGCAATGAACGAGAGAAATATTTAAAATAAAAAACAATAATTCGTCAAACGAGACAGACGGATGTATGTCATTGTGTGTATGCGGCAATATATATCTGAGTATGACTGTGCAGAAGACAAGAAAAAAAGAAAACATGAGCTATAGTTCATTAGACATTTTGCCTAACGATATTCTTTATGAAATTTTTGGTTATTTATCTCCAATTGATGTTATTGAATCGTTTTTTTCGTTGAGTAAACGTTTATCCAGAATCATAGTAAATGAATATGTGTGGCACATTCGTATTGGTGATTCAACAATGTCATTATCAATGTTCAATGATCATTGTCAAAACGTCTTGCAATTGATAGGAGGTCGTGTTGTCTCATTACGTCTGATATTAATCAATGTTATCAATGGATGGCCACTCATTTCATCTTCTCTTCGATCCCATTCCACAACATTCCTTCAACGTCTACATCTGATCGACATTGAACCACATGAATTTGATAAATTATTACGAAGTCAGTTAATAAAACAAATACATACATTATTAGTTGATATAACCTCATCTAATCGATTCAATTGTCTTCAAGTTGAAGGAGTTTATCTAGTTCAAGTAAGTAAACAAATGCAATTCAACTTTTATCTAAAAAAAAAATCATTGATATAATTATGCAATTCTTTTATTTATTTCATAAAAGGTGTGTTCAAGAATGCCTCTCGTCAAAATTTGTCGACTTCCATTTAACCATGATGTTAGCATTATGAATCAAATAAAAACGTTTTCATTAGGATATCAAATGACTTTACCAAATTTATTAAATGCAAATCATCTTCGTACATTGACTGTTGGCATACATTCGTCATACTTTCTGGGACGTTTACTATTATGCATACCTTTTGTTGAGAATCTTTCTTTTGGTATAGACGATCGAGATATTAATGAAAGCGATTTTCATGAAAAAATCTCGTAAGTAGCATACGATCATTGTTGAAAGTGTCAGTTACATGAGTCGTTTTAGAATGCCTGCCACTATTGGTGTTCATCTTCTTCGGCACTTATCTCGTCTACGCATATATTGTTTGAATAGCATAAGTTTCCATCGAACTATTGCACTTTTATCATCTGTGTTTGGTCAACTTCATCATTTATCATTAAAATTACTAGCATGTACGTTCATTTCTGGTCCATTGATTATATCAGGTGATATAATACAACAATTATGTATTGATCGCTTTCAACCAACGGCAACTTATAGTCTTGATCTAGTATTACATGCTAAGAACGATTTGGAAGAAAAAATAATTTTCAACTCATTTTTCAAAGTTCCATTTACTCATCGACAACGACCGAGGGTATTCATTCAAGAATGCAGTAATATGGGTATCGGTTATATGTATCATTGTTTTATGGTATATACTTTGCCATATAAAGACGAAATTCTTCCATCGAACATGCTTACTAAAGATCTTGAAGAGTATATAAAAAATATTTTTTATGAAAAATCAATAGAAATCTTTTTCTTGTTTAGATCTTTACAAATGTCAACTAGCGCCATAGATTTATTTCCACGCGCTAATCAGTTAATGCTGCATGGTTATAAGTTCAAGAAGTATCGTCGAGATCCCGGTAACTGCATAAGTTCCATGTCATCATTAGTTCCATGGTCACTAATAACAAATATTTCAATCAATCATAGTGATGCTATTAGTGTAGTTGCATTACAGTCCATATTACGGATGGCTTATAATGTGCATAAACTAAGAATATTCGATGATACAGGAGTTTTACTACGTGCACTATTATATAGTAATGATAATCTCGAACTTCGCGTCAATCAACAAGTAAGAATTTCTATTTTTGAATGATACATAAGTTTCATTTGAAAGAGAAAGATTCTTATAAACATTTACACTTTGTTCATAACATTGTATTTTGTATTAATTAGGTAAAATCGTTGGACATCTACGATGTAACTTGGACATTACAAAATGTTGAACGGTTTTGCATATTATTATCGAATCGATTTCCTAACTTGAAGACACTTTCAATGCATATTTTGGATTCATATGATCAATGGAAATGGAGACCATCTCGTATAATTGACGGGAAAAACAAATCAACAAAACGTATTGTTAATCTTGTTTATTTACTTGTTGATAATTTCAAACAACTTGTGTCGCTTGATATCTACTTTTCTAATGAAAATTTCTCTGATACACCTTGTTTTCCACATTTAATCCGACGACAACTATATCAATATCCACCTAGTCGACCTCATCGGTTACAATGTTCTTCCAATCGAATTCAACTCTGGCTGTAATGATGCTTTCTATTGTTATTGTTAATTCGTCATGTAAATATATACATGAATAAAATAAAAACTCTAATCATTTATCTTTTGGAAATGTGAAATTGAAAGTAAACTCTTTTCAAATAATTAAATCTTAAATCATAAAACTTTCTCCAGACATGTAATCTGATCTTCTGGTCGATCTATTTTATTTTTTTTATTTAAAAACGCATCATGATAGAGTATCACTGATTTAGATATGAAGAAACCTTAAAATAGAATATCTAATATGAAAAGTGTTTGATGAATGCAGTTTATGGATCAATAGTATTTGCCATGTTCTTTGAGCTATTCGTTTCTCTACTGTCAAGTCTCCTTTGGAGTAGAAAATGATAAACGACGAATACAATTGAACGAAGAAAATTTTTCATTGGTATTGATTCTGTCGTGCGTCATATTGGAGTTATTTTCATACAAGCTAGTTGCATTGGATTCAAGGCGTTGGGATGATTGCTTCTTTAAAGAAAAAATAGGATGCAAGAAAATTTGAAAAAGTATGAAACATCATCGTAAGATAGACAATTTTAAATACCATATTTTATCCTCACATTTGTTCATAAATATTTACAAGCTTTATTTATAACAAACTGTTTTTGTTGTACATCGGGCTCGAGGAATAGAATATTGTACCGAATAAATAAATCTATTGAGATCATCCTTCGAATGTAATACTCATCAGTGTGTCTGATTTGAATCTTGAAAATGTGTTTTTTAATGCTTAATGGTTGCCATTAGACAATATCATGGTTGCAATGGTATCCACCATGATAAGAAAAAGCTTGAGTGGTTTTCTTTTTCTACTTTTTTTTTTCTCGACTACATGTGTTCTTTTCTGTTTCATGGTTTTGAATACAACTATTTCCCTTTACTTGTCGATTCTGCGACAGTGAAGGCTTACTAGCAGCTAAACTCGAACAATCGTGACTATTTCCAAAATCAATAAAAAATCTTTTACATTGTAAATTATTTCAACAAGTAATACGAAAATCGATTTAGATCAAAGGACATCGAATCATTGATATAACATGATGGTCAACAAGAAAATCCCTTGTTCTATGGAGATTAAAAGAAAAACGACTCCGGTTAATTTGGAAGATTTTTCTGTTGTTTGGCTCGATGCTAAAATGTTTACTACGGGCGATTGCGAAGACACGTCGGATTATAAAACATTCGACAAATCCGACCAATGTACTGATTATATAGCATCATTAACAGGTGAAAAGTATTTTTAATTACGTCTAAGCCAACCGGACAAGTCATTCTATCACTAATTGATGAAATTCCACAAACTTTGCCTATCTCCATGTACTGTAGCCGAAAGCGACAGCATAGAGAATAGTTCGATTTATATTTTGGGAGTAAGTTGCATTGTTTATATATGGATATGAACTTGTTATTGTTAGAGCTGAAGAAAAGGAGGCTAGATTTCAATCAAAACATTTGTTCGCAATAAATATTTTTAATCAAAATCTATCTGATGCTTTAAAAGAAAAATCTGTACAAGATTGAAATCATCAAAATGATGAATTTATTTGGTTTCAAATATTAATACGTATGCAACAAAAGAAGGATTCTATAATTGAAATGTTAACAGAATGTCGATTATCATACGATGGAAATAATATTGAAAAAGAGAAAATTCATGATTTTAAATACAATTATAAGTTATCAGATGCTATACGTTGGTATAAATGTGATTCGTTTGTATATCGTTTATTAAATCAAGCACTTTGAACTGAAAACATCGATTTATGATTAAAGATCTTCATTGACAGTTACAAAAAATACAAATGCATTCTTTCAGGTTCATTGCCTATCGTGGACAACAAATATCAAACTCAGATTTGCTAACGATTCTAAATTGTAAAAATGTTCGAATAGTTACAAATGTATTTTTATTCTCAAAATTCGATAAGAATGTTGCTATGATTTGTGCCCGTGATGGTTCTCAAAGGTCAGTGATTCAGGTTGTGGATGTTTTGCCGTATGAATAAAGAGGAAACCTATATCCACACAAACACTCATACTCTCAAGCTACGAGAGATTACAATTGAAAGAGTAGAATTTTTTTATTTATAGAAATACACTTATTGATCGCAGTTAAAGAGAAACTCGCGTTCGAATTTCACTTTGTATATAATATATTTATATCGAATAGATAACAACTCATTATTTCTCCATCTAGTCAATTCGCCAGAAAATCATTTTTAAAGCTGAAATGAAGTGACAGGACCCTCAATATCCATTGAAAAGATTAGTGAATATTTAGATGAGCATACTCTTCTTTATTTCAGAAAATAATCTTGACATTGTCGTAAGTGATGTCAACAATATATTTAACTTATTGTTATTTCGATTGAATAAGTATAAAAAAATCCAAGTAAAAATTTGATTTTGATTACGCGTATAGTTTAGGTCGAGCTTGCATTAGCTATGTGATAATATTCCTTCATTCTACAATACGCGTTTCGATTAGCCGATTAGAAAAATTTTCTTTGAAAGTTCGAGAAAAAATGATAACCATATTGATTCTATGTCGCATTGCCATCCCCAGGCAGTGGAATACATCTATAGTATAGACATCCTGTCGACGGTATTTTCTTAGTATCTTGATAGACATAAGTCGTGTCATCGGCCATAAATATGTGTTTTTCGTCAAAACGAGATCGAAGAAAAACGTCGACATCTCCCTTCGTCGGGACCTTTCTATGGGATGAATAGCGAAGCAGAATATAAGTGTTGCCAATAGTCAAATTGTACACTGACCGTGCCATCCATTTCTATTGGATCTTCATGAAAGGCCGGATTAGGTTCGTTCCAGGCTGAAACTGACAGACGAACAGGTAATGTCACTTGATTTTCATCAAGGATTCCAGTTATCGCAATTCCGTAATCAATCTAAAGTGTATGAAAATCATTCAGTTTCCTTGATTCTTGAATGATGTACTCAAATAATGAGTCTTTCCAAATGTAATTTTTGAAAACATTTTACTTACATCTAGTGGTATCCATGCATTACCTGCATATTTCTTCGCACGAGTGAACTCTCTAGTTGATCCCATCTTATTTTCATTCAGAATTCCTTCAAAAACTTTCTTTTTATATAAATCATAATAGATGATAACATCTTCTGGATCAAACTCATTTTCCGTTTTGTATCGAATCCCAATAGCCGGTACAATATGATCATAATCTTCATAGTCCATATATCGAAGAAAAATACCAAACATGATAGGATTTCTACGCAAAATGGATCGCTTCATCCACCGACAATAATCTCGAAATTGTGGCTGAGGTGCATTCATCCAATCCCATTCTTCATAGGTGAAGTGAAGATAAGATAGTGTGTGGATCGGATCTCGCAAATCACTAGAAGATTTTCGTTGTAGGAGATATTCGCCTCATATGATGGGGAATTTGAATTTGCGGCAAAATCGATTTCATTAAAATCATCTCTATTTGTGACAAAATAAAAACTGTACTGGTATACCTCTATACTATACG